TATTTTACCACTTGAATTCTTTCCACGTCACTTCACATCTTCATTCATATCGTAATCGTACACTTAATTTTTTTAAATATTTAGATAACGCTTGACATTTAAAACAAATTTTTGATTTCAATTCACTTATAAAACAACCTTTAATAATTTTGTAATTTATCCACTTCAACTCTACCCCTTATAACATTTTAATTATCGTTATTCTTATCACACATATATATGTATATTGACTGAGCAATTATTTAATGCCACTTAGGAACCTTTTCTGTAATATAAATACGACTGTACAGCTTGAAAATGAAGTCGTCGAAAAGAAATTTCTTCACTGAACAAAAACACTGTGTTCTTACTTATGAATAAATGGGTATTTTTCGTGATTTAAATGTAGTATGGTGTCGATAAGCAGGTGTGTATTTGTGCCTATTTCACGAGATGGGAGTTGAAATGGTTGAAAGGAGTAGACAAAACTTACTTTATAAATTTCATCAATCCCAGAGAACTGATCACCGATTAAATCTCCTCTTGGATACAAACGCCTCATCAGTTATCTGTCAATTATCGTCTTCTTTTGTGTACACATGATGTTCGACAACCTTGAAACACATTTGTATGCTATACAGCAATTCGCCTCATGAAATGGAGGTCATATATGCCTTCACTCACAAAAAGCTACATGTCGAGAAATTATGAAAGTTAGACAGAGAATAGTGAGCTAAGAAACAGTTGTCTATCATCGAGCTTATTAACCACATCGTCTAAAGTGCCCGGGATATATGTTGCAAGAGTTTAGCCACTACCCTCTTCTACCTCCAGAAATGTAACCAAAAGTTCAGTCTGGTTACAAATTATTATTGACTGCCAGACTGAAGCAGTGACATTATTCTCTAAGATCATTCGTTTGAGTCACAGTGGGATTTGCCCGGCTGCAGTCCTCCAGATGCTGAAAATTAATGATCAGGAGTTATCTAGGACGCATCAGTGGCGTAGAGGTGGAATGCTCGCCGACCCCGCATGTCGTCCAGGGTTCGATCTCTGGCTGACGCACTCCCTTACCTCCCTAAGCCAATAATGAGACTGGTAGAGAGGGAAGGTTGATTATGGGGCTTGCTAGCAATCCAGTCCTGCAAAAACAAACACCACTGCTACCGAAACTTCAAGCCTTTAGCCCGAAGCCCTATGTTACACTGAGAACTTAAAAAGAAAAAATTATAAAAATGCAAAAAATAATTTTGAATAGGGCACTAAGAAGACAAATTTCGCGAGATGATATCATTTTGTCGAATCTCTTTTTCTCACTTGCCGAACATTTTCGATCCTACGATTAAAGGACGAAATTCTGTGGACTCTACTTCAAACTGTATCTACAAGTTCACCTGCAGCTGCGGTGACATCTATGTAGGTAGAACCAACAGAAGGTTCCAATGTCGTCGAAAGGAACATGTTCCAAAATACTTGCTTAATCATATAGAAAATCCCAACGCGATTAATCTGAATAGAAATCCAGCCTCATCCATTGCAAAACACTTAATAATGTCAGGTCACTAAATCAATATTAACGTTTGTTTCAAAATTATTTCACATAACTCTAAATCAAGGTTATTGAAGGTGATGGAAGCACTTTGGATTAATCACATACGGCCTAAACTGTGTGTACAAAAATCAATAGACTTCAATCTTCGCCTACCATGGACTACACGACCTATCTAAATATGATTGGTCATTAGTATGTACTTTTGTGTTTTTTATTTAACTGAGTAATTGTCATTATTGTTAACCATGTTAATTGTAAGGCGGTTGTAAAGAAACTACGAAATGACAATATCATCTCGCGAAATTTGTCTTCTTAATGCCTTATTCAAATTTATCATAGGGACTAAGTGTTTTAATTTTAAAAAAATAAGTTATCTAGGACATGACTGAAAATCTTCCATTATGACATGAATGCACTTTCGCTCCTTTTCGTTTCTTAGCTTCTGGACGATTTGATCACAATGTATTCAAATATTCACTGTCGCCTACGTCTTCGTCTATTGTACTGTCCCTATATTTAGTTTCTTCATTGTCATGTGTGCCTTCAGGGGTTTCAGTAGCACCCTCGTACAGTGGCCCATCTTGTCTCATTAAATGATCATTGGGAAAACGTTTTTAATTTTCTTCAAGATGGGTTCAAATGATTCATCTTCACATACTTCATCACAGACACTAAGTGATTTCAGAGATTACGACTTTTCTTTAATTCATTCAGAGTTTATCACTAGTGCGCTGATAAGGGTCATGCACATTTCCGATTTCATGCAAGATTGGTTTACCTACTTAACCTTTAGTACCATATTTGTTAGGTTTTCATGATGCACCACACAGCCATGAACAATTCTTATTCAGATATTATTCAAAACAAAACATTACTGGCAGGCTGTTCGATGTCTAACCTTTAGAACGACCCATTGAAGTCGACAACTGACAACTTAGAAGAGTATAAAAGGTAAGTAGATGAAATTTTTATCATTTGTGACAGTGGTTATGACTTCATTCAATTGCTACAAGTGTTTAACAACTGCCATCTGACAATAAAATTCATCATTATTTTTCTTTTAATTCCTAGAGGAGCATAGGGCTTCAGCCGCACGTCTCCATTACGTTCAGTTCTCTGCCAATGTTTTCACTTGGCTCCAGGTCTACCCACATGCTTTCATCTTCTCTTCACATCACCTCCTCCACGTCACCCTCTCACTGATGTTCAACTCGCCACTTCACATTCGGGTTCCACTTGAACGATGGCCTGTCGTGTGATATCACTTGATGCTTTGTTTTCTTAGAGTATGGCCAACCCAACTCCATTTCTCCCTACATATTTGTTGTGCAAAGTTGGTTCCTGCTGGGTTGGTTCGTTCCCAGAGATCCTTGTTGCTGATCATTACTGGCCACCTGATCTTGTATGCTGAGCGAAGATAGCTGTTGATGAAGGTCTGTAGTTTGTTCGAAGTGCCCTTCGTGAAGCGGTGCACTGATTAAACATTAAAGTTAAAAATATCGATCTTATTTTTCATGCTGAGTGCTGTTCATCTCCACACAGACTTTAGAGAAATGAAAGCTTGCCTTGCTTTCCCAATCTCCGCAATTTTATATCCTCATAAGTTTCGTTGGTCTGTAGTTAAAACGATGCTTCCCAGCTGTGTCGGTAGGTAAAGAAGGTCACTTTTTTCAGATTTCTCCCATTTATGCTGGCTGATTTTTGTCTGTTGTTGTTACTGTTGCTGTTGATGTTGGCCAGGACTCTTCATCACCATGTCTGTTTTCTCTATGTTCACCTGAAGGCCTATCTTCTCTGAATGCTTCTTCCACCAACTTGTTGCTTTTTGCTTACATATCTTCCCGTTTGTGGCAAATCAGACATATATCACTGGCGAAGTTCATATCCCTCAAGTTATTTGTGTGGGTCCATTATATGCCTGTTCCATCCTTGCCCGCTGCTGTCTGTCTCATTATCCAGTTTACCACAATCAGGAAATTCATTGGAGATAGTAGGCAGCCAGCTTGTCTTACTCCGGTTGTGGATTACTTGGCATGCAGCATTGTCGTACAACTGATAGATGAGATTTATAACTGTTAGTGGAGAAGAGATCTGCAGTTCAAAGTGACACTGAAACTCAACCTCAGCTTCATAATTTTTAAATTCTTACATCTTCTCTAGACTTAAGCAAATTGTCACTTTAAAAATTCTTTCCACTAGGCAAAAGTTTATGTTATTCTGTTCCAAGAGTACCAGTTGCATTATTCAACAGGATACCAGTTTAATTCAAGGCAGTATCAAGGTGAAACGCGTCACCGACAGCATTTTCTACAGGCCACAGCAAACTTTCATCACACCAACAGCTTTTCCTCCTACTGAAGGTCAAATAGTTAGCTCGAAAGATACGTATCAAGGAGCACTAGCTAGTAGAAAACCAACCAAGAGTCTATCATCGAAATAGGATGTATTGAAAATCCCCTAACAATAGCGTTACGTGACATCAAACTTCAGGTAGACACTAAAGGGGAGGTAACGGGAACTGACGAGGATATCAAAGCAATAAACAGAAAAGCAAGGCGAGCTATCATTACTGTCAAATCTGTGTCGAGGTCAACAGCACTCAGCATCAAAAATAACATCCGGATTTTCAACTCCAATGTGAAGTCAGTGCTACTATACGGATCAGAGACTTGGCGCGTCATAAAGAGCACCTTAGACAAACTACAGACCTTCATTAACAGTTGTCTTCTCTCAATAGTACTCAAGATCAGATGGCCAGGCAGAAAAGATCAGCAGCAGGGATCTCTGGGAGCGAACCAACCAGGAACCGATCGTGAAACAAATAGGCAGTAAGAAATGGAGATGGATCGGCCATACTCTGAGAAAACCATCAAGTGACATCATTAGACAAGCCATTGCTCGAGTGGAACCTGGCCTAATGGGAAGCGGAGAGTTGGTCGTCCAAGAGTGACTTGGAGGAGGTGATGTGAAGAGGAGATGAAAACGTGTGGGCAGACTTGGAGTCAGGCTAGGACTCTAGCAGAGAACCGAACGCAATGGAGACGCACGGCCTAAGCCCTATGTTCCTGTAGGAATTAAAGGAAACAATAATATTAAATAACGGGAGGATTGTCCAAGTATGACATAGTGATTATGTGAACAGTAAATGCGAGCTCAAGAGGTAGTCGTGTAGTCCAGTGAAAGTGGTGGCAGAAAACACAATATAATAGAAATGTTCCAAAGAGATATTATTTTTCACTTGGACCATAAACGGGATGAACATCGACAATCACTGAATCTCTTCGATGGGGAGTAAGTCATATTAATTTAGGCCAAATTTCTCCATCTTCGAGAAACACACTTCTCAACTTTTTCAATTCCACCTTCAACTTAGAAAAGACCGTGAAACAAGACAGTTGATCAATACCAAACCCAATATACATATATTTTGTATGAAGAATAATTTTGGGTGGGATAAGGAGGGCGGGGATTAGGGTTAACCAAACCAAACAAAAAATCTTTGTGAATCATTTAGGTATTTATTTGTAATTTTAACATGATAAGCATTAGTCCAAATGAAAATAATTGAGTGTAGTCATGTCAAAGAAATCTTCCAGTGGGTAGAAAGAACAGTATGCATAAACACTGAACACATTATAAGCCCATTCCACCTACAATGGAAGAAACAAAGAAATAAAAAATAGAATTTTACAAGTGCATGTATTTAAAATAATATGCTTTACTCTTTTGACTACTAACTAAACTATCAGTAGGTAGATTATATCTGCCACATTATTGTGAATCGGATGACTGAAGTTCAGACTAGCATATCACTCACGTCTGTAGAAGATGAAGATAATTGTTTATCTTCCTAAGATATAATGCTTAGTGGAAGGCCTGATGGATCAACAAAACGACAGATTTATATAAAACCCACGTGAACAGGACAGTATCTCAGTTGTTACAGTTCCTTCTCCGTTCGGTACAAAACAGCCTTAGTAAGGTGCCTCTTCAGTAGAATCCAACGACTATGCACTGAAGACACACTTGATGACGAAGAAAGAAATTTGACACAAATTCTGCTTGATAATAATTATCCAGATAAGTTCATCAAGGGTATTCAAGCAGTCAGAACACCAATGCCCACCCAAAGAAGATTTGCACATCAATCTACCCAATATAGGGCATCACAGAAGCTTGATAACTCGAAAAATATTGAATACTGTGGTTAAAAAGACATTTTATGCAGCCAATATCATAATAATTGAAAATTTGAAGCCCACATATACATCTAATCTCTTAGAACATGCAAAAAATGATGTCACATGCCACTTTATCTACCAATTTGAATGTACGTGTGAACACTCATCAATGTCTGCAAGTAAAGGCTGGCTTCAGAGTATATTCCAAATTTGCTCCAGAAGCAAATAGAATCTTTAGAACTTATTATTAGCGAGATTAAGAGACCAAGCTGCTCTATTGCGAAACATATTATAGAGACAGGACATAAAATCGAAGTTAACACATGTTTTAAACCTATCTATAAAACGTGTTTGGGGTGTATCCTAAATTTTGTGGAAGCCCTAGCTAGCATTCAGAAAGATTAAACCACCTCTATGCGTTCAAAAAAATTAGTCATCACATTAAACCCTCATTGGTAAATTGTGTTTTGATACGATAGCAGATGTACTATTACCTCTGCTATTTGTTTTAGTGATCTTCATTGTTATTTTGACCTTCGCCTAAATCTATTTTCTCACCTCTTAACTCCTTATTAATTTCATGCTTATATACTCCTATGACAAGTACGTGGAGAGTGATCAGATTGTTCAAAATGGGTTGCACAAACACAACATTGCACACAAATCAGACAGATTACGTCTTCTTATTGCTTTGTCTAAATTCATGTAGGGAACTTATTGTTTCAACGAAATATTTCAAAAAACAAATTGATAATGGTTACATATTTAAGACTAACCAAATTCATCTAGACAATAACAAATGAACTATGCTCAATATATAAAAAGCTATTTTCGGAAAGTGAACAGTGATTTCTGTTGATAATTATTATTTCAGAAATTATTAAAACGACAAGTGCAGCGAAGAAAATTTTCTTTTCGACGAAGTCATCATCTAGGCTGTACATTCGTGTATTTATATCAAGTGGATGGGAAAGTTCCAGAATAATTTCCGGTTAAAGGTCAAATTAATAAAAATTACAATTAGGAATTAGTATGCCATAATAAACAGGGGGAACGATAAAACTCAAACAAAGTAGCATTATAATAACTAAGAAGATTGACATATTGTGCGATTGGGGGTTAGAAATGTAGAAATAACAGAAATAGATAGGATGTTTGGATAAAAAAACCAATGTGATGAATAATTGTTTATGCAATCAGGGATTAAATATGTAGAAATAGTAAAATGACAAAATAAGCAGGACGTGTGGATATGAAAATATGGTAGTGTAGACAGAGATTAAGAAAAACTTAAAATAAAATCAATAAACAGGATGTTCAGATAAGAAAGGCGATGAGATCGTCATTACTAGAAAATGTACCCGTTTATGATGGTCATGGTAGGGAGAGGGGTTGGACGTAATTCTTTTGGATACAAAGCGTGGGTTTGAGCTTTTGGATAGCTAGCGCCTCAGCTATGCCCAGATGTCTTGATTTGACTCCCTTTGATAGGTTTGATTGAATCTTGTATATTACTCTGAAGGATTTTTCGAAAAGCGCTGAATGTCCTGAGTTGACCAGATGTTCTGTCACTAAACTGTATACATGTTTTTAGTCTCCTTTTACTATCTTGGCTGGGTAGTGTTCGCGAGCGCGTTTTCCAAGTCGGTGCATGGTACGGCCGATGTACTCAGCTCCACAAGAGCCAGTAAACTGGTATATGCACGTTGAGGTGGCCCAATGCGACAGTTTATCTTTCGTGTTCTGGTTGAACAGTTTCTTGCAGGAAAACGGCAGTCGTAGGCTCGTGGCGACGTGTGTTTTTCCTCAGCGATTTGGAGAGGCGTTTACGAAGGATTTCTGCTTCAATATCACCTTTGAATTCTAGATTAAGCAGAAGTATTTTCTTTATTTTTTTCCTCTTTTATTTTCATTAGTTTTTATCGAAACATCCTGTCTGTTTTGTTATTTCTACATTTCTTACCCCCAATCGCACAATATGTCAATCTCCTCAGTAATTATGATGCTCCTTTGGCTGAGCTTTATCCGTCCCCCATCTGTTTATTATGGCATACTAATTCCTAATTGTAATTTTTATTAATTTGACCCTTAACCGGAAATTATTCTGGAACTTTCCCGTCCATTTGATATAAATACACGAATGTACAGCCTAGTTGACGGTGACTTCGTCAAAAAGAAAATTTTCTTCGCTGCAATTGTCTTTTTAATAACTCCTATGACCCAATGTGTATATTTCGTGATTTCAGAAATTATTTATTCAAGTGATGACTAAACCACATTTAGTAATAATAATAATTTAACTTATTCCAAAAGCAGTACTTATAATAAAGAATGGAATTCTCAGCACTTGTCAGAATATAAATAAAATTAAAACAAAATTAACCAGGGGAATTTGTCCATATTTACGATATTAAGTCAAACATATTCGAAGCACGAATTGAGAATATTAAATATAGTAATAATAATAATAATAACAGTGAGTTTGTTTCAAACCGTATTGTCAGTTCAGTTTGGAATTTTTGCATGCTATAGATTATTGAATCTTATGTTCTTTTGATATAGTATGGTGAGGGAAAATACAAAAATTAACAGTTATGACACAGCTAAAAGGATGTTTACACTTATGGGAAAATAAATCAAAATAAAAACAAAAAATTGAGAGGATTATAAATATAAGAAGTATAATTAAAATAATGGCTGAGAAGGTTAGTTAGTTCATGCCTGACACTATTTTCATCACATAAAGTACGTGCCGTCAAATATGGTATATTAGAATTTTTGTACTTAGAATTACGTGCATAAAGTCTTCTGAAAAGACTTCTTGTTTTACCTGAGGAGACACAAGGTTGGAGCTGCGGGTAGAGTGGGTGCTCAGAGTTTGACAAAATTCCTTTAGCAAATTTGTTGCATGACATCAGGTGCCTATCAATGACAATGTCAACGATGGGGCCTAATGGGATACCACTCGCCTTACTGACTGACAGTATCCAGAGTTCTACGAAGTATGACATAGTCCTTTTTTAGCAATCCAGGAAAAAATAAGGGTAAACAGTAAAGAAGAATAGGTAAGGTGCACAAGTGTTGACAAACTGAAAGAGGTTTGCTTGGGTTATGTCTGAGTGCCTTAACTTCTTAATGTAAAAAGTCAGACAAAATATTCTTTTAGAAATCGCTAAGACATGGGAAGACCAGGATAGGTAGGAAGAGAGAATTAATCGGAGATACTTAACTTCAGACTTGGTTTCTATATCAGTATCATCAATTTTGCAAAGGCCATAGGAACCAACGGCTTAATTTAACTTTCTTTAACATCAGAAACTGAAATTGACAGTCTCACATTTCGAAGGATTTAGTTTAAGGCCGTTAGATGAAGACCATTTGCCAACTCTCGATAAAAAGATGTTCATCTTAGTACAGTCTAGCTGGGAGTTAACAGAAATTGAAATAATTAGATCATGGCCATACTTAACAAAGTTCATTTCATCAGAGTGAGGCAAGTCATGCAAGAAAAAAGAAAACAGAAAAGGAGAAAGGACAGCGCTTCGAGGGACACCAGCCTCAGTAAGCAACGAAGTGTACAACTTTCCCTGACATACAGTGTATTGCTTTCTTCCTGAGAAATAATAATTCAGCCATTTGACAGCCCAACAGTCAGTTTGAGTTTCAGTAGGCTTGTTTAGCAAAATGTCCCTAGGTACCGAGTCGAAAGCAGATGTGTAATCTAGGAAGGTGCAACGAACAATGTTAGCCCCCTTGTCTAAACTGGAGAGAATTTTATGATGCAAGACTGCAGCCGCATCTAAAGTACTTCTACTGTGTTTATAAGCGAATTGTTTGGGATCGTTAATGGCTTTAAGTGAAGGTTGAAGATTAGGCAGGAGTAACTTTTCCATAGTTTTTAGAAAAGGAGAGGTTATAGCAATAGGTCTAAATTTAAAACATGTTCCAGTAGATGACTTAGGTATAGGAACAATTTTAATGTCCTTCCAAACAGCTGGCACGACATTTCTGAAAAGAAGATTCATTAAATATGTTCACGAGAGAATAACACAGGATATCTCCACACTTTCTAAGAATAACACTAGGCAAGTAGCTACAGGATTACATCGTGAGCTGAAATCGGTTAGAGAACAAATGGCAAACTAACTGGGAATACCGAATAGCTGTTTCGTCCAACTTTGAGACTCTTCGGCAGAGCATACCAACCCACCTTCAGGGTTCGAACCCAGCACCTACTGGTTACAAGGCGAGCTCGTATACAAATAAGCCACTGAGACCCAATCCGATGGCCAGTCCATGAATTCCAACTCCTGACAATTCACAGCAAAGCCCGACTGCTAATCAATGTCTTCGGAGAGTATTTGTCCTCACGCACGACCTGCTGTACCCTACTGGTCTCGCCTTTCCACTAGAACCCCATATTTTCACCAATACTCATCATTCGCCGACTAAACTATGCTACCTACATA